TTGCCAAGGGGCTCGGGGGACCAGCCAAGACTCCCTTAATTGAATAAAACGACAGTTAGCCATGGTACTAAAACAGAGATGATTTTTATAAATGGGGCTGATAGCAGGATTTTTCCAGCTTCTGATTACTGTCTGGCTATGGTTCCACCCTTAGAAAAATTCTATCCTTCGAGTGCCAAATTCAGAAGATGATTTTGCCCAACTCGTTACTGCCATATTTTATGAATCTCTTAAAATAGAATTGAATCATAATTTAGAAAAAGGATCCAACATGCAAAAATGGATGGGCACATAGGAATAGGCCAGGCGTGTGAGATGCACTTGCCCCATGAATAGAGAAATCTCTCTGAAATCCAAAAATGTTCCAGAAGCACAGCTTTGGACGTTGTACTAAGAGTGAGGTCTCTTCATATAGTATTTTATTTTTGAGAAAAGGAAATACGAGATGCTTGTTAACTCTTTCAGTTTGGTGCTCCCTCTGAAAGAAAATCTTATCTTCACTCCCACTCTACCTCTCTACCCTGCTGCCTGACATTCCCTCTTTCTCTGTGTCACACACACATGCGCGTGCACACACACACGCACACACACAGTCTAGCATTCTTGAATCAACAATACACGGCTAAAATTTGAGAATAAAGATTACATACAGAATTTGTTCATGCTCTGTGATAATGACCTAAAACCCAAGGTCGCCTTCTTCAACTCACTGTTGAAGAGAGGCTGAGGCCTTAGAAGTAAGCTGTCCCAGCGACTCGCAGCAGCTTCCTGGTAATGAGGCGGGATCTCCGAGGAAACCACGCAGGGCTCAGGGCTTTCAGGAGGGAAACGGCGGCCACCTCAGGAGCACTGCTGCTCTGACGTCTTGGCCACCCTCTGTGCCTTTTCCACGTGTCTTTGGCCTTCCTGGATCCTGTGTGAACAAACTGAATACAGGCCTGGGTGTGGTTTTGAATTCAATCACCCAAATATCACTCTCTATCAGGGACTCTGGGAGGCATCCCAACTTACCACATCTCAGCCATCCTCCCAGTGACCCTGTGAAGTAGATGATATTATTACCCTCACTCTACAGAGGAGAGAACCAGAGTTCAGAGAGGTCGAGAGCAGAGCTAGGATTTGAACCTGGATCTGTTGATTTTAAGTTAGAACTTCCATTTGAGTACCACCATTGTGAGGATTTGCCTTTTGACTGAAGGAGAGCACAAAGGTTTGGGGCCAGCTCTCCGGGCAAGAGTGTGTTGGGAAGTCCCCCGTCACCATTGCATTCTCCCACCTGCTTTCTCTTCCTGGTCCTTCTTCATTTCTGTTCCTTACCTGGGCCCACATTCCACCTTTCCAGATGAATGTTCGCTTTTCATTCCTTTCCAATTCTCTTTTATCTCTAGTTGCCACAGACCTCGTGGGTCAGGGGTTCTCTCAGTTGCCCGATCCTGCGTCAGGCAGTCAGTGATAAACAGGTGAACACAACACACTTCTACTGTCAAAGGAAGTAATGGAGACATACACGAACTCAATACCCTCATGCAAGTCCAAGTGTGAGAACTGCTCAGACGTGTGTGTTTTGCTCTGTGAGCCCAGAGGAAGGACCCAGTTGATGACAACTTCCACCTCCCCCATGCCCATCTCCTTGCCTCATCTGCTCTTTTTCTACTTAGACGTTCAACAAAACAAAACAGTGGTTGGATTGAAAAAAAAACAGCTAAAAGCATGCTGATGGATAAAACCAACCTAAACAAATTGTCAAGACAAGTACTTCACTCTTCCCTGTGCAAGAGGGATGAAAGAAATTTAATTTGCGTGGGTACAAGCCCAGTTTCCGGTGCTTCGAGGGAGCAGAGCCACAGACCCCAGGTTCTTGACCACTGTTCATTTTGCTATTAAATGAATAAATGTGCAGTTTCCATGGCAATGGCCCTATTGAAGCTTCATGACCTGTCTGAGCACTTGCTGGCCCAAATCTACTCACTTTTCAAAGCAGAATTGATGGTGCTTTCAGGGACACTTCTCCGAAAAACCCACACTAAAGTAAGAATGGGGAACTCCAACACCAGACCCTTTTTTCAAATAGTATCTCCACAATTTGGTGTAAGAAGCAACTGCTTAAAGAAAACTACACCTGTAATTTCTGTTTCTTTGGGTCAGATCGCCACTGGAGACAAGGCTTCAAATGCTAAAGGCGGTTAGTGAAAATGCTAGATCCTGTGACAATTGTAGCCGAAAAGACTTCGGGATCTTGCTTCTGCCTCTGCCATTGTAATGTTTTCTTGTCACTGATATGAAACAGACCCCGCATGTCCACTGGTGCCCTCCCATGTGGAGAGCAGCCCTGGGCATGGTAAATTGCACACTGAAATCTCTCCCTGTGGTAGACTTGATGATGAACGACCTGCCCCCCTTTGGGAATAAAGGACTTGCTTCCCTGGTTGTTGGAAAAGGTACAGTGGATAGTCCTCAGCTGCCAGCTCCCTCTGGGGGCTCAGCAAGTCCACTCAAGGTCACACTCCCTTCCTAGGGTTGCCCCTATCTGATGACTGTTTGATAAGGAGCTTCACAGGCTCAGCCCCCTTGGCCCAACTCAGACAAGTGTGAAGGGTCCTCCCTTCTGAGGTTCTGTTAAGCTGCACCATAGCTCTCCTTCACCTCTGCCCACCCTCCCACAGGCATTAATGCCAAGAGCATGCCTTAATAAGTGTCTTGTCTTCTAATCTCCATCAGAGTCTGCTCCCAGAAACTCGACCTGTAACACATCTTCAGGTCTATAAGTTGTCCAGGTCAGGAGCATCCCCAGAGGGACAGCAGAGTCAAGGCAGCAAGCTACAAATGACCCCCAGGGACCTGGCAGTGTTCTTTGGTACTGGACACAGCATTTAGTCTTGTACTCAGTGCACATCTGATGGATGACGTGCTTTCATTCTGTTCCAACGTGCAATTTAGGGGAACATGGGGTGTTTACCTTTGCCGTCTGACTTTGATAATGACCAATTGCAGTTTCTCTGGAGAAGGGATTCACACTCTCTCATGCCACCTCTACTGGAAGGCGTCCTCTGGGCTTCCTCCTCATCCCTCAATTGAAGCAACGGTTCCCTCTCTGAATTCCTCTTTTCGCTCAGTGTTTGCTTCTCGGGGCCTTTATCCTTCATCCACAAGCATCTCTTGAATTCCTGTCATGTGCCTGGTGCTGTGTCCAGTGCTGGCAATGCAGAGAGGGAAGGCACAGTCCCTGGGCAAGGAGCTCACTGTCTATGCCAGAGACAGACAAGTAAATATGCAATTAGGATGCCTTGTGGCTGGAATATGATAGAGGTAAGTATGAGGTGTACCTAGGAGCGACATCCAACCTAGCCTGGGGGGCAGAAGGGAAGTGACAGCAACTAGGGGGTCAGGGAACACTTCTCAGAAAGGTGATGGCTGACCCCAGTCCTGGAGGACTGCTGGGTGTTAGCCAGGTGTATTAGTTTCCTCTGGCTGCTGTAACAAATTGCTACAAACTCACTGATTAAAACAGTGCAAATTATTTCTCTCACAGTTCTGGTAGTCAGACATCCAAAATCAGTTTTACTAAGCTAAAATCAAGATGTCCCCAGGGCTGGCTCTTTTTGGAGGTTCTAGAGTGAAAAATACTTCCTTGCCTTTTCCAGCTTTTAGAGGCTACCTACATTCCTTGGCTCATGGCCCCTTCCATCTCCAAAGCCAGCAGTGTAGCATCTTCTCTCCTCTCTGATCTCGGCTTCTATCACTACATCTTCTCACTCTTGATCCTTCTACCCCTCTCTGATAAAGACTCTTATTTGTGACGACATTTGGCCCACTCTGATAATCCAGAATAATCTCCCACATCAAGATTCTTAACTTAATCACCTTTGCAGTGTCCCTTTTGCCATGTAAGGTAACATATTCATAGGTTCCAGTGATTGAGATGTGGACATTTTTAGGAGGTCTTATTCAACCTCCAACACCAGTGGCCACGTCCGAGTCAGCATTCGAGGCAGAGGGACGAACATGCGCAGGCGCAGGGAGACATGGCCCAGGGCCATTTGGCAGCTGTGGATACTTCATAGGCTTCAAGAGAGGCGTGTCAACAGATCAAGCTGGACAGAGATGCAGGGAAGCCAGACCATTCAGGACGTTGTATTTTGAGCTTGAATTATAGTTAATTGTATACGTGACCTATCTTGCTATGTACCCATAAGTGCCTGAGGCCAGGATTTTGTCAGTGTCTTCTTCATGCCACCAGAACTCTGGTTCAGTGACTGGCACAGGACAGGAGCTCAGCACACCTGTGTGGCATCAACAAATGGCAGCTATGCCCTGCTCTGACACAGTGGTGGCAGAGTGGTCCGAGCAGAGAACTAAAGGCACACCGATCCTCGGGGTCTGCATCCTGCTGCGTGACTGGCCTTCCTGCAGCTCACTGGGCAGGGACATTTCGTGGGCAAGCAGTGTGTGTGGGAATAAGTTAAAGAAGGCTTTTTAGTGAGCTACACAATAAAACCAGCAAAATGATCGCTCTCAAAGCTGGAAGATGGGTACGTGAAAGTTCATTATGCTCTTCTTTCTACTGAATATTTCTATTATGTAAAGTTTTTACAAGATGACATGAGCAGAGGTGAACTGTGCATGGCATCCTAGCAAGTACAACAGACATCTAAATGGGAGAGAAGTCTGTGGTAATAACCGGGTCTAGACCAGGGTTAAAAGAGATGAAGACTCTAAAAACCTCATGTCTTTCACTTAATGAGAGAACATCTGTGCGAGTGCTTCGTAAACTGCAAAGCTTTGCATACCCATAAGGGACTTCTCCTCAGTTATTAATACAAATATTATTTCCTAGGAATTAGGCCATTTTCCAATCTTTTGTGTAATAAATGCAATGAATTTCCTTCTCATCAAGGAACCTCAGATACTGCTGAAGTAATTCTTTCTCAATGTCACCTTCCCTTTGATGTCCTCAGATTAAGATGTGTTGGTTTTCTCCCCTCTCTGCCCCTCGTCCTCAGACACTGAAGGACGCCAGTGACAATGCACGCAAGGACTTCCACCGCGAGGCCGAGCTGTTGACCAACCTCCAGCACGAGCACATCGTCAAGTTCTACGGCGTCTGCGTAGAGGGCGACCCGCTCATCATGGTCTTTGAGTACATGAAGCATGGGGACCTCAATAAGTTCCTCAGGTACAGTGGGGGACGACGAGGGAGGTGGGCTCGAAGATGGAGTTGGCCTTCATGGTTCACACAGCCTGAGGGTGAGGATGGGAGTTCCTGGGAAGGGTCAAGGGACCACTGGATCTTTCTCTGGAAAAGTCTGTCCCGGTGATAACACCAACACAGGCCAGAAAGAAACGGAGGCCACAGCATTGCTCTTTCCCTTAATCGACTAGCTCTGTGCAGTGTGATGCTACTGAGTCAGCTCAGTTCCACCCGGATTTATTGAATATTTGCTAAGTGGCTGGCATGTGACATGTGCATTTGAGATGGGCCTTAGAGGATCTGTAGGAGTTTGCTAGGTGCAGGAAACAGTAAGAGCTAAGGCTCCAAGGTGTTACAGTGAAAGGTTGGTCAGGAAAGAGTGGAGGGTCTGGAGTTTCAGACCACAGAAGGGGCCTGGGGAGGGGAGGTGGACAAGGAGCTAAGAGGAGTCAAAGCTGGAAGGGTCATCTTTGGACTTTATTCTGAGGACAAAAAGAAGAATCAGGAGGTTCATCGGTCAGAGGATCTAGTGAAGAGAACAGAATCCAATGAGCAAAAGGTCTAGAAAGAAGGAGGGAAAATGGCATTTGGCGGGACCACTGCAGACTCAGGGTTGTGGCAATTGCTGAGACCCTGAGGTCATGAAAAGATGGACAGCTGCAACTTGAGGGGCTTTGTGGCAAGCAGGGTCATTGGAGGAAGGCAAGACAAGGAAGGGGAAAAGGTTGACTATAAAAGGAGTCGTTGGGTTATTACATAGGTTTGCGTCACTTGGATTTCTAGCGTGGGCCTAAATGCGTTTTAGTTCAGCAGTGGGCTCTCAGGAAGTCCCCTCCCTCGGTGATGGGTACAGGGGCCGGGGAGGGGCCACAGGACAGAGAGAGTGAGAGAGGGCTTAGGGTGAGATAACCCAGGAGGAAAGGTCAAGTTGCTTGGAAACAGGGAGGCTGACTTTCAAAATAAAAGAGGTTGCAGTAAAGTGATGCGGGCCGGATGTTAGTCCTCCAGACAGAGCTGAAGTTGAACATCAGCTCCGACTTTTATTAACTGAGTGACCTTGGGCAAGTCTCTTAGCTCTTCTGGTGATAATATTGAGCCAGCAGGGCTGGCATGAGGATTGAATTAGAATAAGTATAGAAAGGTCCTAGAATCAGAGCAAATAGGAAGTTTTCAAAAAGCAGAAGCTTGAATTCTGCTAGTAATGATTTCTACTAGTAAACCGGCTGCCTTGGTAAGAGAAATGGCAAGGAGGGCTGAGTTTGATAGTCTCCTGGCCAGGGCCCATCCCGAGGGTTCTTATTCCGTATCTACCACGGGAGAGCAGAAGGGCACTGATCAGAGACTGGTGAAGGAAACCAGTGGCACCTGTACTTGCATTAAACAGAAGCACGAGTGGAAGTCACTCGTTTACGATGGTGACCTGTGAAGAGTTAGTGGTCCTAGTAGTGAGGGCCCGGAGACCATTTCTCCTTCCTATTCTGCATCAGCCACTGTGTCTCTGAGGTCTGTCTCCAGCCTACCTGCCCTCAGTCACCTCAACTCTCCGGTGGGTCTGAGTTAGATCCTCTCTAAGTCATGTCTGGCTCTAACATGCTGTTTTCTTTAAAATACAACTGTCTGTCATCTTTGAAAGGTTAGCAGATGTGCTGCCTGTGACATCTTGATCGCTAGTGGAATTTAGGAGAAACAGGAAAGATGTTAGGGGCAGGTGACCGTTTGCACCTGTCCTTGCTGGCCTCCATTTTCTCACTTGTAAGAGGGGTGTAATAATCTCCCCGTCAAGGCCCAGTGTTAGGACTGTTGCGATGGGAGGCAATCAATAGATGTTGCCCCCACTACCCTTCTTCTCTGCCACATTTCCTCTTTATTTTGGCTGAGGGATCCACAATCCTGGGAAGTTACACCTTTCATGTTATGGCAACACCTAAACCTCTCCGTCCTCCAGTTTGCTTGACCACTGGAGAGAGCTATCAACAGAAATCAGCGCAGTAGCTTCATGCAGCCACTGGAACACTCAGAAAGTGTGCAATTTGAGTAATAAGCCAATCGCTGAGAGAACAGTGGAAGGCAAGAGCGTACCACTGTGTTTAGAAATGTCATCACATGGTTTGTGCCGTCTGGATCACGCTCACTGCCTCTAGCCTCGTGAATACACATGTCATTTAGTTCTCCTCTGCTGGGATGGGTCCCTGTGCTCTGCTTTGCCGATGATCGGATGAGGGAATGCCAGGTGCGATTAGGAATATGTAGCCAATTCACAGTGTTCGGAGCCTCTCACCCTAATAATGCTTTATCCAACGTCAGCAAAGCTTTTCTTATAGGTAGTGGAAGAGAGGGTGACAGCAGCTTCTGCATGTCAGATCTAATGTAAAAAGAAGCTGAATTTGGTTCAGGTCCAGCTGCTCACAGAAGAAATACCTTTTCCTTATTCCCATGTTCTAGGCTACTTCTCTAACTACAAATGGTGTTTTCCCCAAACTGTAGCACGATAAATCCAAATGTACTCACCTGGACGCGATTAAACGCTCCTGTGAGTTCAGACTGTGCACGTGCACATAAGCGTGTACATGTACACGTGTGTGTCTGTTGATTCTTTCACTTTTGGCTCTGTCTACCTCTCCCTGGCTCTCCTTCCTCCTTCTGAAGAGAGGCACCCGGTTGTCCCTCAGCATCTTGCACAGGGCATGGAGCTATTGGGAACCTCTGCTCAATTTCAGAATCTGCTGAACTCGGGGAACGAGAAGTTTTCCAAGCCAAGAGTCATGTTCTCAGGCCTAATAATGTGCTGTGAGCTACTGTCTGTTCTCTCTTTTTGGAAGGGAACCAAGACCTTAGATTGCCATGAACATGTCCCCAAGTGTCATTGGCACTGCCCTGTAAAAACTTATGTCTAGAGTCATCTTCCCACCTTTTTATTCATCCGGAAGCCATACGCTGAGTACCAATATGGCCAAGCCCTCTGCCAGGTTGGCTGGGATAGGAGGAGAAAAACACAGTCCTTGCTTTCAAGGAGACTGCAGTTTTTCCTCTCAGAAGGCCTCCTGAATTCCCTTCCGATGAAGGCAAGATAGATAAAGTATTTTCAAGCAATAACATGGCTAATGTTTATTGAGCCTTTCAATTTATTGAGCTAATATTTTCTGAGCATTTTAAACGTTTTAACTTGTATAAAGTTAATAAACTATTATTATCATTGTTCCCACTTTACGGTTGAAGAAACTGAGTCACACAACTAGTGAGCCACAGAGCTGGGATGCAAACTCATGGCCATAGGCTGCAAAACCCATGGTCTTAACCACGGCAGTACTTCCTCTTGAGGTGGCTGTGAAAATATCAGAGGGAACGTAGTGTGCTATGGAATTCCAGAGCCAGCAGAATATGGCTCAGCACCCACCTCGACCCACCCTGGGAGAGAACCAGCGGAGCAGGGGGAGAGCCTGCCCCGGAGAAGCCCCCGACCCTCCCTGGTCCTCGAGCTGGGCTGCTGCTGCTTTCCCCTCTTAGTGGGTGTTCTCCTGGCGGAGGGGAGACGGGTCCTTACCTCCAAGAGCTGCAGGGTGCCCGGGGCATGAAGCAGAGGGCTGTGGGACTAACTTAGTTATGCTCTTCTCAAGAACTTGTTGAGAAGACTCGCCTGCTCTCTTTTTACAGCAGGGCTTTCTGCTCAAGAAAAGCATCCAGAGGTTTCTCCTGTTAAAAGGAGCCTTGTTCAAATACCCAGCAGCAAGCAGGAGAAACGACTGGTAAAAATGCAGGATCCTGCCCCAACCCACACAGGACAACACGAGCGCAGAGGGTGGTGGAGGGCCGCCAGCTCCCTGGCGCCTTCGCCGCGTGAGGCTGCAGAAGGGGGTTTTGTGCAGAGGTGGCCTTTTGCGCTGGTCTCTGACTTTTCCTCTTCCCTGGAGTCTTTGCGGTGGACAGATTCTTACAGACTCTAGATTTCTGGGGCTGAAATAAGGCTATGGCAAATCAACAACTTATTTCACTCTTTGAACTAAATCTAAGAAGATTTCGCCGTGGCCTGGAGTCTCTGGGTATTTTGGGATTTCTCATAGTTTATACTCCCCCAGGCCCCTCTCCTGGTGATGAGGTCACAGCCAGGGCTTTGCTCCTGTGACGAGTGAAAACATTCTCACTTCCCCTCCCCCGGAGAGCTGCGAAGGGCTGGGCTTGCGTAACCTTAGTGAGGCGGGAAGAGCCAACTCTTCAGTGTCCCCAAGAGCCTGTCACAGGCCAGTTGCAAAAAGAAACACCCGGAGGATAAGCCATGTTTTCATGTCACCTTTCAATTTCTTTTTTAAAGAGGACCTTGTCTGCAAAGTCTTTCTCTGGCTTTCCAATGAAAAGCCACAACATACACGCTGGCATCGTGAGCTCAGGAAGGGGCAGTTAGGACCCTCGCTTTACAGATTGTGGAGACAGGCCCAGAGAGGCGCTGTAGCTCCCCCAAGGTCACAGCTAGTGTGTTAGGACAGGATTCAAATTCAGTTCTGACACCCAGATTCTTGGCCACTGTGCTGCAAGACTTCTTGCCTCCGGTAGGAGATCTGAGCTGAAGAGAGCCAGGCATCTCCCCAGGACTGGTTCTCCTGTGACAAGAGGCAGGCGGAGGCTGTGGCTTGAATGGAGGTAAAATGTGTTAGGACTTGCCTTGTACAAAAACAGGAAGTTCCTCCCTAGGAACGGTTAAATCCGGATATTTAGAGATAGCAGGGACCAGCACAATACCCCTTTGTATTTTTGACTAATGGGAAGTTACCGACTGGAGAAGTCAAAAGGCTTCCTCGGATCACGGTGCTGGAAAAGTCCCCACCTCCTTGTCCAGTGCTTCTTCTCTGACAATACAAGAAGGAGAGGTCTGGTCACCGTCTCTTTGGGGGATGACCGTGGGCTGCGGCCGTGACGAAAGGGGTATCCTCAGCACCCTAGAAAGCGCATCCAAGGTTGGGTGGCAGTACGGGAGGGAGGGAAGAGCAGGGCGTTCTTGGATAATTCTGGCTCTCTCATTTTCAAATGCTCCTACAGTTCTGGAACTCTGCAGGTTTAAAATTCATTTCAATCCTCTATATTTAAGTGCTTCAAACTGTCCTGAAGGAGATCTTCCTTATTTGCCTTCCAGAGGGAAGAGCCCTTTGACACCCCCGCCCCGCCCCCGCCCTTGCTCTGCAGCGCCCCCTCAGGCCGTCAGGGGCAGCGACACCAGTCTCTGCAGGTTTCTAGAGTGAGGACTGCCAGGTCTGATGGTGACATCTCAAAACTCAGAGCTGTCCCTCCCTGAAGCACAGGCCAGTGTTTAGATGCCTTAAGTTGTCACACAGCTGGGAGAAGGCCGGGTGTGTAAGTCAGAAAAAGAAGGTATAAAATATCATACTCCCCGCCTTGCATAGCATAAAGAATAAAACTCGCCCCAATGATGGAATAAATGTGTTATGATTCAAAGAACTCTCCTATGGGTGGCCA